CTTCCCAGACGTCCTGCACTCATTCAAGAGCCCCTATTCCGCTGTCTGATGCCCTTGGCTAACGTCCAGGAAAGGGCACACTTGAAACGCTTCATGCCAGCCGATGGGATCACCACCGAATACGAGGGTTCCGATCTCAGGAGCTGGAGCGGCTTTGCAGCTGCTGCTGGCTCGTTTGCTCAATGTCTGGTGGGAGAGAGCGTTCTTGGAACAGCCCAGGATGCAGAATCGTTGCATTTTTATACAACTACTATGCTCCTTGGGTAGGGGAGACCTTCGTCTATACAAGGCTTGCAAACTCTATGCGCAGGATGCCAGATCTCAGAATGATCAACTCAAACAAGCAAACAACTCTCTGTACTGGTGTACGGAATCTGGCATGACCCACGGGGTCTGCGAGCTTGGTCTCAGGTTCTGCAAGTGCAGGAAGCAAAGGCCGAAAGCTGAGTGTTGGGCATCCATCACCCAACACAAGAGAGCACGAGTACCTCTTCAACTAGAACTGCTTCATATGGATGGTTGCCGCGATCGGAGGAAACTCCGATCACAAAAAAATCCAGCCCTGTCGCAAGGTTGGAAGGCCTGCATTTCAGTCCGACAGTTCTAGGAACCGCGGTCTTGCGATGTCTCGGCAGGAAACGGTGCGGGCTTCGGATGAGCCCAAGGTTTAGCTACAACATGCTACAACACTGAATTTTGCAAGACTTCACAATTCATAAACCCCGTTGGCTGGCTTAGTACGCCGGCCACCGGAGACAGCACTGGGTGGAATGCAGCAACGAGGACTCTACGACCCTAGAGGGAGACTCCATGCTAAACTGCTTCAGCTTTAGGAAATCTACCGGCTTAGGCCCCTAAGCCTTAAACCGTGGGTCCCAAGTCGAGAACGTCTTTGGAGGCTTACTTCGTACTGCAGTATTGGGCCTCTATGTCCTAGGCTTCAGTATTCCGGTGGTTGGGGTTTCGAAGCTTGAATTTCTGTCGGTGCCAGGCATACAGCCAAAACCCAAAGCCTCAACCCAAGATCCCAAGCCACATTGCATCCAGCATCCTTCCCCGTGCCACCTGCTACTGATCCATTTGTCGACTTCTGTGCTGTTTGCAAGACTGAGGCAAGCAGCCCGGCAGTGCTTAGATTTCCCGCCATTTCAATTCGGGCCCGTGTGACAGTGAACTTCAACTCGTAGGCAGAGCTGAACCCTCCAGTACGGGCTTAAGGCTTTAAACTCTAAAACCCTAAAAACCCTTCAACACTACAAGAACCCTAAATCCTTCAACCTTAAAAGCTTAAAAACCCTTGAACAGCCAGCTTGCAGACCTCAGCCGTCTTCCCGGGCAGCGAGCTGGGGGGAAGACAAAAGTACTTGTGCCGGCACTCCGTTTAGGCTTAGGGGTTCCAGGGCTTTTGGTGTAAGTAAGTGAGGTATTCAACAAGTATTTCAACTTGTAGGGTTTACCCATAGGCCCCATAGTAGTTCCTTTTTGGGATTACCTTATAGGATTTTACATATGGGGCCTATGGGTATAGCTCTCAAGGTCATATACCCTGGAGTGCAGGCTTTGGCCAAAACTTTCTACGCTGCGGCATCGCCTCAGGGTCCTACCGACCCATCTCTACAGTAGGCGAAAGGGCGGGTGCGTCGCTAATTATTCGAGCTCACTCATTGTCAGAGCTTCGTAGACGGTGCTATGGAAAGCGAAAAGCAGGAAGCCAGCCGCGCATCCAGGTACTGAAACTGTGCGGCTTTAAGCTCATTTTGAATTAGGCTGCTCGAGCGTGGCCTCGTCCTCCGAAGCCGTGGGAACATGCAGAAAGGTCTTCCTCGGTTGACGGATTTTCCCCTTCGGTTGACGATTTAGGGTTTAGGGTTGCGGGCAACAGCAGAGTAGACTTGGCTAGCTGATTGTTTCAACAGTCGTTGTCGAGTAGCGATCCTCGTTCCGGTCGGCTGGAGCATTGAACGGGCTTCCCAGTGACTGGAGACAAGTACAGTCACAGGAATGCTCAGAGAAAGCCAAAGGTTAGCATCGGGTGAATGCAGGGGTCTTAACAACTACCACAGGCAGGGCTTTTCTCAATGTTATAATACGCAGTGTATGAAGGAACTCTCAGGACTTGTACTATCAGAAAGTGCGACCCCTATATTAGCATTGTGGCATGGTGTTCTCAACATCAAGCTCACGGGAAGAGCCCCAAGTCCAGCTTTTACCACCCATGCTATTCCATCTAAGCCCTAAAGCCCAAAACCCCAAAGCCCAAAACCCTGAAATCCGAAACCCTGAATCCTAAACCCTAGAACTGTATACTTCCAGCTTCCTCCGTAAACCCTAAACCATAAACCCTAAACCCTACACCCCTTCCTTGGCGAAGCCTCAAAGAGCAGCCGGGCAGCCATGACGCGAGCACCTTGCTCTTGCGCTCCTGCTCCCAGCGCCGAAGCTCCTAGCGTCTTTGGGGTTTACACTCTCACAACTCGGACAAGCCAGGCGAGGATCCATGCGCGACAGTCGGTGTGAAAACATTTAGGTCTTCAGGTTTAGGGTTTAAGGTTTGGTTTCAGGTTTTTTTTCCCACCCGCCCAGCTGACAAGTCGCACCGCAGGGGTGGTTTCAGGTTTAGGGTTTAAGGTTTGGCTTAAGGTTTAAGGTAACTGCTGGCATTGCAAACCCTTCTGATAAATCATGTGAACCACCCTTGAACCCAAAGCCTGCAACATTGGCAGGGCCCTTTACAACAAGCATTGCTGCTTGACGCATCCGTCTCTCCAGCTTCCAACACCGAATTCGGGCTCTTGTACATCTACGCTTCCTGGTAAGGCGCTATTATATTGTGAACATGCTTCATTAGACGTATGTATTGTGCGGTGCTTTCAGAAGAACCCTCGAAGTCCTAGCAACGAGCAGTTCAACAAAACAACGTGTCTCACAAAGCGTGGCTTGGCTCCGAATGTAACCTGGAGGAGCCGGAGGTGACCCAAATTTAGAAGAACTCCACGGATGGAGCGTTTCAGGGCTGCTTTGTTTTTCAACATCTTTTAGTGGATTTTCACTTATTTCGGACGGTGAGGTTTAGGCTTTGACGGCTTAGGGGAGCCTTCTCTGCTCATCTATCCTGCCTAGGCTGGCAAGGCAGAGGCTGATGGCTCAAGTGGCTGAATATGGGTAGTTCTCTAAATTAGGGTCCCTTTTGGGGGTCCTTTTTTTAAGGGTGCCGTTCTATATTGGGGACCTAAACAGGGACCCTAGTTTAGAGAACTACCCATATGGAAAGGGGTAAGTGTTGTGCCTTCATAGCCGCGGACATCAACATCTGCATTACTGGTACCGTTTTGAGCTCACTGTTATTTGCTTTGCTGCTTTTGTTCCCGTGCAAATGAGGGCCTCGTGGCATCACAATGACTTGTTATGGTCCTGTCACATGAAATCCTCTTCTTTGAAGCCTTAACGTCTGTTCTTCACAAGGTTATCATTGCGAATATGCTGCTACAACTTCAACAGTCAACGACTCCTTCGACGACTGCAGTTGCCACTACGAAGATCACGACAACACATGCTGTGGTTTTTGTTCCTGCTGTTTCCTGCCGCCTGCACTACTACTAGTACTACTACTAGTACTACTAGTACTACTAGTACTACTAGTACTACTAGTACTACCAGTACTACTACTACTACTACTACTACTACTACTACTAGTACTACTACTACTACTACTACTA